AAAACATATATAAATGCTCTTAACAATGCAAAAACTTAACATCTATTAAATACATACACAGCACTTGTTTAAATGCAACATATATTTTCTGTTGACCTCTGCAGTCAGTTTTAATCAAAGGTGCACAAATATTTTAAAGTGATTGGTTTCAACAGTTTAAATTAAACCCATAGTTTTGATGTGAAACTGAAAAGCCTGTAAACTGACAGCCACAGCACACATAGAATTATGACTCCCAGTAGACTTAATTTTGTTAAAAAAAAAAAAAATTCTGGATCACTGCTAATGTTCAGATCTGAAATGAAGAACGAGGTAACTTTATTTTTCCATTGTAGGATCCTGTACTGTGTTCTAAATCCCAGATCATACATAGAATGTAGGCCCAGGAAGGAGCCTTGGCAATAACGGCCTAAGCCTCTCATTGTACAGGTGACCCATGTGAGGCCAGGGTTGTGTGAGTGACATGGGAAGTCATGCTATGGGCCCATGGCCTCCAGCATGGAAGCTCTCCTTAACTGAATGAGCGTAGGCTTGTCAGTATTGAAGAGCATCTCGTGTGTGGCTCTGTCAGGATTTTGGAAGCTCTACACTAGCTCCTTGGTCATTCCAGCTTTAGATATTTGCCCTCTCAATGTATCACTAAGCAAACCAAATCTGTCATAGATCTAAGGAGCTGTGTATTTTCCCCCACAAGCCTTGAGGATGTGGTACCCCTGGTGGAATGGGCCCTCTTAGTGGTAACTGGTCCATGCTGTGGGTACTGGGTGACCGGCGTTGATGTGGACCCTGTCCCTCCTTTGTTTGACCAGGGTAGTTTGAATGTCACCTTCAGTACCAGGTTCATCCAAACTGTGGTCCCCCATGTCCATGGCCCCACGCTTCAGGGAACCAGAGTCCACCTGGCCATAATATTTTCCACTCCAAAGGCACCATTTCTTGTCCCTGGTTCATAGTTGGAGAACATCGGCCTCTAAATCCTATAGTAACAACCAATCTCTGTGGTGAATTTCCATGAAGCCGTAGGGCGAACTGTCCAACCATTTTTAGCTGGTCTCTCTCCACCTCCCCACTTCTTTAACCTAAGGAAACCACTTAGACATCTGGAGAGAGAAGGGGTTCCTAGCTCTTGTGCACTTTTGTTTACATATACAGATTGTAGAAGCCGATGTCAAGTCTGGTTACTAAAGTGCACTTTATTACATAACCTAACGTAAACAGACAGACCATATAAGACACGTGTGCTGAATCTGTGTGTAGTGACAGCCATCTATAAAAGTGCATGTATCTATCTTATGCAGCCTTTTTAGAGACCCTGGTTGACTGCAGACGAAGCAGAGAAAAAAATTCTTCTGGAACCACTTGGACTTGGCAAAGATGATTAAAAATACAGTCTTAGAAGGCCCGCCTTTGGTTCTCTTCTTTGCAGAGACTGCAGCAGCTAATCGTTCTCACATCCCTTCTGGAGAAGAAAATGAAGTCTTAACTTAAAACAAGATCTCACCATCTCCTCTTCATTATTTTTCCCTTTTGAGATCGGACGGTAAACTCTATAATTTGTTTCACCTTTTCTGACTTCTGAGTGAGGTTTGGGTTATTTTGATGATACAATAAAATGCCTCTCATTTTGAACATTTGTGTAGTTAATTTTAGACATTTAGCCTTTAAAAGGGCAGGGAAGAGGGGCTTTCAGTCCGTTTGTCTTCGATTTTCTCTACATCCTGTTTTATGTGTGGTTAGATCAGCTGATGAATCCTGTGATGTTTTGCTGCTTCAAATGACAGAAATAGAGACTTCAAATAACCATGCAGAGGAGCACCTTGAATGTTTACCAAACACGTTGCTCAAAAACATGCTTTGCTACGGTTCAAATGCTTTTTATGAAAGAGCCACATGAGGGCCGTGTGTGAGGATGGCTGTCTACAGAAGGCAGGCCCGGGCGGCTGGTGTTAGGGAATTGGCTGCAGGAGTAACTCAGACGTCTCAACAGTTACGGATTGCCACATCGTATAAAGCCCTGCTCACTGCAATTTTGGTTATTAAAAAGAAGAAAAAAAAGGTCAGGACTCAGAATGTAAAAGGACCCATTTGCTGGACTGTGCATTGCCTTGATTGATGAAGACTTCATCCAAGTTTAGAGGTCAGCTCACCTGCAAAGTAGGAGGCCTGAAGGTGTGGCTGGTGGGTCCACACCAGCACGGGCTGTCCTGGGCACTGGTTTGCTTACAGATTTACAGAAGTAGAAAGATTCTTAAATACAAGGAAATATTTTTCAGGGTAATGTAATTTAATTACAATATAAATACTTCCTATTTTGCAACACAGGTTCTCACGCTCTCTCCCACTCATTTGAATAAGAAAAAAAATCCAGAGCCAGCCCCGTGGCTCAGCAGTTAAGTGTGTGCGCTCCGCTACTGGTGGCCTGGGTTCGGATCCCGCGCGCGCACCGACGCACTGCTCCTCCGGCCATGCTGAGGCCGCGTCCCACATACAGCAACTAGAAGGATGTGCAATTATGACATACAACTATCTATTGGGTCTTTGGGGGGAAAAAGAGGAGGATTGGCAATAGATGTTAGCTCAGGGCCGGTCTTCCTCCACAAAAAGAAGAGGATTGGCATGGATGTTAGGTCAGGGCTGATCTTCCTCACACACACACACAAAAAAAAAAAACAAAGAAAAAAAAATCCAGAGTCTTTAAATTGATGTGTTTCTAGAAACTAAGGGTACGAAAGAAGTTGGTCTCCCCCTGCCCCTTCCTTCTAGAAGAAAAGATCCCCAAACGAGGAACAATTACGAGGGTAGGGAGCTATTGACTTTTTTCACTTCTTACTCTAAAGCATCATTGCATAACTTTTTTTTTTTTTTTGTGAGGAAGATCAGCCCTGAGCTAACATCAATGCCAATCCTCCTCTTTTTGCTGAGGAAGACCGGCCCTGAGCTAACATCTATTGCCAATCCTCCTCCTTTTTTTTCCCCCCCAAGGCCCAGTAGATAGTTGTATGTCATAGTTGCACATCCTTCTAGTTGCTGTATGTGGGACACAGCCTCAGCATGGCCGGACAAGCGGTGCATCAGTGTGCGCCCGGGATCTGAACCCAGGCCGCCAGTAGCAGAGCGCGCACACTTAACCGCTAAGCCACGGGGCTGGCCCTTGTATAACTTTTTTGTTATTTATTTGGGAAATGAATGACTATCCCAACCCCAGGAGAGATCCCGAAAAGGCTGCTCATGAGGACTTCAGAGGTGGCCCCTGGTTGGGATGTGCCCTGGGGCCTGGAAACGGCCCAGCTGGATGGAGCTGGACTAGGGTGGAGCCCCCGGGCCTCCCGCCTCCTGGGCCTCCCACCTTTTGCCCCTCCCAAGGTTATTTATTGGGAAGACTCAGAGAGTGAAAAATGAAAGGTATTTACTACCGTAATGAAGCCTACTTGGCCCATCCAATATATCCTAAACCAACACTAAAAGTTTTCATTTCTGAGTGTACCGGCCATCCATGGACATTTCCAAAGCCAACCCATCTTCTTGCTAAAACACAGAGGACAAACACAAACACGAAGACAGAGAAGAGGACCTTTGGCACAAGAAAAGCCCAACGCAGGCAGCCAGGGGGTGTGCCTGGCCGTCACCAAGTGATGCAAACCAGCAGCCTTCCATGCCCAAATTAAAGAATCCCAAACAGGTGAGGGATTCTGGCCAACTTGCCAACCTCTCACCATGCCCTGAGCCCCGTGGCCGGCAGGTCCATCCCAATCATTCTTTCTGCTCAAGTCTTGGGTGTCTCACTGATCCCTAGTGCCACCAAGATCCCGCAAATGGGGGGCAGAGCACACAGCAGCTGCACATTTAGAATGACCTTGCACAGGCCCCTCAAGAAAGCAAAAAGAGAGGCCACAGAAGGAGCTGCCCTGACCTGGGCTTGCGCAGAGAAAACCCTCAGTTTAGAAAGACTGCTTTGAGCTGCCCATACTCACTTCTCAGCATTTAAATTAAAATCGGCCTTTGGCCCCTGGAGTTTTAGATTCTATTTGTCTACAAGCAGTCACTCAACATTGAGAAAGTCATGCCTGAGCTTTTCACGGTCCTTGACATGAGACTCTCACAGGCATGGTGCCCTTCTAACTAACTATATCTACCAGCTGAGCGACTTGCAATAAAAAAGAAACCTGTGGTGGGGGGACGTTTCTTTGGTTGGCAAAGGAGTGCCCCTCCTTACTCTGCAAAGTGGGAAGAAGAAGGTCCCCCCCTTCTCTGGTTCAGCCTCCTTTCTCATCTGTGTCGGTTAGAACAGATGCTGAAGAATCCGCCAGTGATAGGTTTTGCTTTAGGAGTTAGTTAAGGTGTGTTAGGCCATGACTTACTTAAGCAGCCCAGGTGGAGGAACTGTATGAGGGATCGTGTGCTTCAAGGAAAGGTTCTGGATTCTGGACACGTTGTGCACAATTGCAGTTCTGTCGTTGTGGTCTGGGTCTGGGTCCTCTGAAACTCACAAAATACCGTGGCCCATGAATCTTTATCACCGACAGTATCTCTGAAGTTGTTATAATGATATGTTCTAGTTGCATAATGAAGAGTCTAGTTGCTCTTTCCCCGAATTAGAGGGAAAGAATTTGCTTTTTCTTCTTTTTTTTTTGGCTGGGAAAGACTTGCCCTGAGCTAACGTCTATTGCCAATCATCCTCTCTCTTTTTTTTTCTTCCCCAAAGCCCCAGGACATAGTTGTATATTCTAGTTGTAAGTCCTTCTATGTGAGCCGCTGCCACAGCATGGCTACCGACAGCTGAGTGGTGTGATTCTGCAACCGGGACCAAACCCGGGCTGCCGAAGCAGTGCGAGTGCCGAACTTTAACCACTAGGCCATCAGGGCTGGCTCAGAATTTGCTTTTTCAATTTGCTCTTTAAGCTCCAACCCCACAAGCATGAAATAGTCACACATGTTAAAAAATACTGCTGTTTAATTTTCTAGTCATGTACTTTAAAAAAGCCGATACAATTAGATTTTATCCCCATCTTCTCAGATCTGCCCCTGAGACCACCCCAAAGCTATGCATCTTAATTTTCAGCACTCATATATATGGAGGAGAAACTGCTCAGAGGAAGCACGTGAGGATTTGTCCCGGTGGTGGGCACACCCGAGGGTCCCTGGGTGTCCAGAAAAGTGAATGCAACCCTGTGACGTTCATGGCTGACTTTCTGCCCTTACATTCTTTTTCTGTGAGGAACAATATGATTACATAGCACTGAAAACAATAAACAGAAAAACTTGCCCTTTTCTTTCTTGCTCTTTCCATGTATATTTCCATTCTTACTATTGTCCACACCAGCCGACCCATTTATACCCATTACCCATAATGGAAAATGGTTCTCTTGCCATTTACTGATCCTTACATTTAAATACAAATGACAGACTCTGTAAAACAGCTGCAAATAAGATACAATGTTCATCGATACAATACGTTCCAACCACAGGTATGTTGAGCACACTAGCAATCCCTGTATTTTATTGGAGACATTTTATTGAAAATGCGAAAATAGGAAATGTATTATAGCCTAAAATAAATTACATAACATATACAGTACATATTTATATCTTTAAAATATTTTTTGTGTTTAGGTTCTTTCAGTCTAGGATTTTTGACTAAATCAAGAATTTAGTGAACCGTGTCCATGATTTTTTTAAAGAAAAAACCCGCTTTCCAAAACTTAGAAAAATATACTGCACTAAATGGATTTCAAATGTGTCATTTCAGGGAATATCATATAGTGACTTTGCTCTTGTTTATAAAATGTCTTGCTTTGTTGTGTGGCGTGAGAGGGGAGTACCGAAATTCACTCTGGATTACCTGTACCGCATGGTTAGGACTAAGAACGGCAGACCAGGTAATAAATCTACTTCAACAGTTACGATACGGCAACCTGGCGTTAGAATGCTAGATTATGACTTAAAGCTTCAGTTCCCTTTAAAAACTAAAATGTAAAGTTAGAATGCTCCATTTCACTTGCTCTAGTGCCATCTTCAGGAAAGGTGAGCAAAAAACAAGCCTTCAGGGGAAGTCATGCCAAGGAGGCTGAGGTGTGGAGATGCGCTTTTGGGACAACTTTAAAAAGTTAGCTCATGTATGTATACGGCAGGGCATGAAAAGCAAGCGCTCGCTCAAATCTAGGAACATGTGAGGCGAGGTGAAATGCTAGCGTTCGAGCGTGTCCGTGCGCTACTCCCATGGCATCTCAAACCTTCCTACGGGAGATTATTTCCATCCGCCCGTCCAGCACGTTCCCAAAGCCATTCCTCAGTGTGAACGGCCACTTCGGGCTGTAGCCTGTCGCTGACCCACGGCACATGGGTAGCAGACAGTTTGTGACTCCAGGGTGGAAGGCCACTGGGGTTACATCTCTTTGTACAGCCATGTTACCGGGAAGCCAATCAAAGAAAGCTGAGTTGATTCTTAAGAGATGCAAGGGGACCGGGTAAAGTCCGTGGCCTGATGGGCAGTGGTGGCCGAGGAGTGGTGGATGGCACAGCCTAGTCCTTTGGTTCCAAGTGGAGATTGTCCGAGGGAGGAGGAGACAACCTGGACTATGAGGCAGCGATGTCTTCTGAGATTTCATGAAGCAGGGGCATGAAGTCAATTGTTCTGTTTGTTTTTACAAAGCGATGGCAAAGACCATTCTTTAGGTCCCCACATCAGTGTGAGCATACCCAGTATGCCAGAGAGTTTACCTGAAACCTTTAGATCAAGGCCTCTTTCATCACCAAAACAGAAACAAAACCAGAAACAGAACAAAACACGATGGGAGAGGAGATGATGCTAAGTGTCATCTCAACGTCCCTGCAGTGCCCAGGCGTCCCGTGCCTTATTCATTTTCCTCTCTCATTTCCACGACGTCTGTCCCCTCCTCCGCTGGAGGTATGTCTGTCATCGCAGAGTCTTCCCCCTCAGCGGCTGTCTCGTTCTCCTTCTTCTTTTTCTAGACCAAAGAAGACTCATCAGCATGGGGCTGTGACAGCAACACAGCATAGTGGAGCCAAGAGCAGGCAGAGGCTCCTCGGGTCTCAGGGGGCCTCTGCAGACCTGGGTCTCGTTTATGGTTGGGGTGACCTCACTGAGGCTGCATCTTAGTTCAGCAGATGCCTTTCAGATCTGTTACTCAAGCACTGGCTGTGCGCCTGGGACTGTGTTAGGCACTTTGGGGGATGCCGTCTCCCACCTCCTGCCTGACAACCCTCCCACATGCCCTCTGGAATGCACGGTGGGCTGATGGAAACCTGCCTCTACCTGAAGACACCACTTCCCTGCAGCCCTTTCCAGCGGTGGCTGTGCTCTCGCCCCCCTCCCATCCCCATCCCTCCTCCTCAGGGCCCAGAGCATTCCTTGGGATCTCCTGTTATCGGATCTTCTTCCCCACTAGGCCAGCCCCAGGTTTGCCGTCATTCTCTCCCAACCCGCTTGTCGCCTGTCCTAGTTCCTGGTGCCTGCACTGCCACGTTGGCTGGCCTGCTGTAACTGGCCTCTCCATGCTCGGACCTCTTCTCCTTCGGGAATCAGGTTCTCCAGTACCACCCCCGCCGCTCGTGGGCTCCCTGGAGACCTTGTCATATCAACACCTCAGCACCACCCACAGGCCAACTCAGGGACACCATCCTCCACCTCTAGTGGTCTGGCCCCGCTCCAGGACCCTGCCCCCACAATCCATGGACCATCTTGTCCCCTCTCCCCTCATCCATCAGCTTAAATGAAATGCTCAATAATTATACTCACTTCCTTGCTCCTCTTTTCTTTCATCCCATTTGCCAGGCAAAATCCCAACCGTGGTGAGGTCCAAATCTTGCCCATTTCAGCCCCTCCACCCCCGACCCGGCGGCCACGGCTGGGGGAGCCCACACTGGTGCACCCCAGAAATCCATGCTTGGACCTCTTCTCTTCTCTGCCTCCACCCACTCCCTGGTTAATCTCATGCCTTCTCTGTTGAAGTAAGCACGATGGGGCTCCTGCTCCCTGAGTATTCATAATCTTAGAAAGGAAAGAAATATATCCCCCAGTAATTAGATAACCCTGCAGGATAAACTAATTACATGCTAACAGGTATGGGGTACGTACATACTGTGTGTGTGTGTGTGTCTGTGTGGTGGGGGGTTAGGAAAGGCTTCCTGGAATGGGGTGGGACCTGGGGCAGAAGGGGGAAAGGATTTCCAGAGGCAAAGAGTGGGGAGAGAGTGTCCTGATCACCCAGTATTTTCTAGATTGTTTATTCCTTAGCAATAAGTCTGAGTTTTTAAGGACTTAGGGGAGGAATTTGGTTGCAAGGGGAATCACCTTTTCAGGATTTTCTTAACACGGTCAAAACTATTATTTAGTTTCTACATTTTTTTTAACTCTCTAGAGGCAACAATAGGAGACAGAATGGTAGACATGTATCCTTTCAGTTGTCTCTCCTGAGAAATACGACTGCCTTTTGAAGCAAAGCAGAGTGTAAGGAATAAGCTACGTGATAACCATAAGGGATCCCCTTGTTATTAACCCTGACCAAGGGCTGAGCAACTTCGGCTGTGAGGATTGCGTGATGTGGAGTCATGGTGAGCAGTGCAAGTCCAGCTGAAGGACGAGATGAATGTGGGGTATCACCACCATCATCCCCCACTGGGGGCCCTCAGGGAGCCGCTCAGGTCTCCCCACACCTGGGATGGGGCTTTGCAGCCACGGCAGGTGTGCGGTTCTGTTGCCACATCTTACCTGTTTCCGATAGACGTAGCATGCTGCTATTGCGACCATGGTGGATTCCCCCACAAACCCCGCGAGGAGGGAGCCCACGCCCAGGGTGGCTCCGTGTACCCTGGGGATAGGAACACAAAGGCCATTTGTCTGTGAAAGCCACACCGAGACACAAATAGAGTCAAAACCCAGCTAAAATCCAGGAAAGGTGTAGACACCAGAGGGACCAGACAATCGCATTCGAGATCTGCTGGCGAGCACTGCACCTAATGGTCCACCTGCACGGGGAGGGGACCTGGACTCTGAGCTGAGCCATCTCCCACACCCGCTCCAGGTCTCAGCTCAGCTCAGAGGACACTGGGAGCTCCTGTAAACAAGGGTGACGCCCTTCCTCCCTCTTATTTTTCACTTTCCCATGCCTGCCAGGCCTGGAAGGTGCTCAATGAATATTGTATATGGGCATCACCTTGAAAGTACTTTTCTAGAATGGATCTCAACAGCCTCCCACCTAGTGCTGGGGAGAGAAACGAGATGTCACCCTGCATTCCTAATTCTCGACATGCTTGAGGATTTCACAGGAAGAAGCAGGTTTAAACTTCTGGACAGAGTACTCAAGTGTCAGAAAGACCCACAGCCCCACACCCCCCGACGACATACCCCAGGTAGGGCAGGACCACGAGGCTGGTGATGAGGACGATGATCCGCAGCACAGAGCTGGGGGCCAGGACAAAGGTCTTCTTCAGTGTCATCAGCCACCCGGTGAGATGGGCCCTCACAGTGACTGAGGGGAGAGCAGAAGGCTCGTCAGGCAACATCCTGCTTCTCTTGCCCTGCAGCCTCTGGCCCTTGGGGCCCTGGGCCACACATCGAGGTCCCGGGTTGGCTGGCTGGGACCCAGGCCTTGCTGCTGCTGCCCCAGGCTGCTCACCTCATCTTCCTGCCAGAGCTCCTGATCCCTGCGTTTGGGCCTGGGGTAGCCCCATCCCCACCTGGGCTCCTACCTCATCACAGCCCTTAGGGTCTAGATGGTAGGTTGTGGCAGCTTCCTTTCTCCACTGTGACCACCTGCTCCTGGGACAGTCCTGTCCACTCCCGCCACCTCCACCCCCAGCCTCAAGCTCTATCATTCCTCGCTAGCAGAGAAAACTCTGAGAGAAGCAATCCAGTTTGACTCTGGGTGAGGAGAAAAGCTGGACTGGAAGCCCAGTCTTCCCCGCTGACAGCCTGGGGGAGGCCAGGAGACTCGAGGCGTCGGTGAAGAGAACGGAGCTGCTCTGCTCTCACTTCTCTATTTCCTCCCCAGCAGTCCCTGACCACCGGACAGCGGTCACCTCCCTCTCTCCTTCCCCGCAGAGCGCCCGCCCTTGTTTTGATATGTCGACATTTCACAAAGACCTCGTAACATATTCTCTGTACCGGGCTCCCCGTCCTGATCTGTGGACCACAGGAGGGCGGGGCGCCCGGCCTGAGCGCAGAGGAGGGGCTCAAGGGACGGAGTGTGAGTTACTGACTGACTCTGGTTTTGGGGGGCAGGACACCCGGTCAGTAGGAAGTGCCCTGAATGTTTAGATGTGATCTGAAATGGGGAGGGGTTTAAAGAAACGTGAGGCCAAGTCCTTTATCCCACGTGGGGCAGCCCCAGGCAAAGACCTTTGGAGGGAGAGGAAGCGCTCCCTCCTGGGGTAAAAACATGTGTCCAGGGTGCATTTGGAGGAGAATCTGCTGTCTTCCTGGTCTAACAGTATGCCCTGCCTGCCCCAGGGTGGAAGCATGGTATGTATGAGACACAGACACACACTGGAGTTTGGCCAAGGGAGAGGGTGAGGGCACACAGGTGGAATGCTAATCTGATTGGCCCAAACCCAGCAAGCTGCCAAGATAGATGGGGCCTGATGGCTGTCTTAGTCTGTCAGGCGAGGAATGGGAGTGCAGAGTAGATTAAAGGCGAGTCCCATCCTAGTCCTAGCTGGAGTCCTCTGAGACCTCCAGCCTCTCCTCTGAGTCGAGACTGGGGAATGAATGACATGTGCCCTAATCTCCAGAGAGTGCAGCCTACTCTAGGCGGCGTCACTTCCAAAGCTTGGCCCCTCCAGTGCTCCCCGACAAAGACCAGACACCACCCCATGGCTGTGATCTTCCGATCCTCCATTTCTGCCACAGCCGGGAAAGCGACACCCGAGAGACCCAGCCTCCAGCAATGCTCGGTGTCTAAGAGCAGGGGCGGCTGTGACTCAACTGGGGGTGGCACGGGGCTGGCGATGCACCACTGGCCTGGCCTTGACTAGCTCCATGGCCCCTTTCTTAACCTAATTGTGGTTTTGTAGCTTCTGGCTTCTCAGCTGAACAATTTAGGTGGATTGTTCTGGCAATAATGTTTTGAATAGGCAATGACATGCACTTGGTACAGAATTTAAAAAGTGCAAAAGGGAATCCAGGACAAAGATCCTCTTCCCAGGCCTGACTCTCCAGGCCCTGGTCCTGCCTCCCAGAGGCAACCAGTCTGGTTACCAGTTTGGTGAGTTACTTCTAGAAACAGTACATAGACATGCAAGCACTTACCATAGACTTATATAAATAAATATCATATACAGATATACATATATATGTGTGATACATTTGTTATAGAAAAGGGAGTATACTAATTAACCATTCGGCAGCCTACTTTTCTCATTTAATCCAGAACCACCTCATTCTTGTATAGAACACCTCATACTACTCTATCAGTTTGGGAATTTTCAAACTGGCTTCTATTCTGGCTATGGGCCTTTTCCTTTCTGGCCATTGCCATCTGGCCTCACCTCTGCCCTCGGATTCCCCTTTTCTCTATCAGTCCTTCTCCTTCCTTGTTTTAGCAGTCTACTTTCTTTTTTATTTTTCATTTTACTTTTTAAATTAACATACCATAAAATTGACTTCTAAGTGTACAGTTCTAAGAATTTCAGTACATGCACAGATTTGTGTAACCACCACTACAATCAGGATACAGAACAGTCCTATTCTCCCCCAAACTTCTCATGCTGTCCCTTTGGGTCTACTTTCTTTTTACTGTGTTTGCAACCGTTGTCCTTTAAGAAACAAATTATGCCTGTTTGATTCATTTCTTGAATTTACAACCTACTGGATAATGTCTTTGCATCTTTCTAATATTGTGAAATTTTACATTTTTGCTTGGGACGGGATTGCAAACATTTCCAAAGAAAGAAGACTGAATTGGGCGTGAGAGTAAATAGGGAATTTTTCTTTCATTCTGTTTTTCCTTACCTGGAACCGGGAAGAAGGAGAAGATACGCAAGGGGACGACACAGAGTTCTGCGAAGGCAAAGTCCACTCCAATGATGTCTATCAAGATTTTCTCAGAAACGTTAGGGGTCCAGAACATGACAAAACAGAGCTGGGGGTGGGAAACAGTTGGCAGGTTGTTAGGAAAAGGCATAAATGAGTGAAATGAGAAAGTCAGGTGTTTCATGATCCCGAGGAGCTAGGGAGAAGGCTGAAACTGCCCCATGGGGGGGTGGCACACTTGTCCTCAAGCTGCCACCACCCTGCTTCGCTCTCACCTGCCAACACAGGCCCTGGCCCATTTGCCACATGTGCCCCAAAGGGACGCCGGCAGTGGGGCAGATGTGGCACACTTCTGAGCGGGTAACCGGGCCAGTGAGGGAGACCACTGTGCTCTCGTGGAAGGCTTCACTAGACTGCTAAACAGCTCAGTCAGTTCAAGGTGAACGTGTTTATTAATGTAATTTTTACAGCTTTAGTCAAATAATAAAAAGTGACCTGAAAGCATTTGGAAGTATGTAGAACCACGCTGCATCAGCACATCTCATGAAAAAGGAAATAGTAATACTTAGATTAATTACAGGCCTGGAAGCTTTTCAAGGTCTAGTTAAGAGAATGAGAGACAACAGCCACAAAATGTGGAACTTTGGAAAGCAGATGAGCCAGTGGTGAACTGATGTAACAGACTCAAGAAAATGGAATCTGAAACTGACAGGGGAAGGTGGAGCTGCCTCCCACCCTTCCCCTCCACACAGATCAGGGAAGGTGGCGACAGGCCTTTCTGGAAGTGGAGGTGGAGGCAGGGCCAGAAGCAGGCAGGTGGAAACTCTAGCTAGTAAGCACTTTGTCCACAGTTCCCCTCGCACAGCTGGTGACTATGCCTCCTCGAACTGGGCAGGGTGGTGGAGTTTAGTCTCTGGACAAAGTAAAACCAGCACAGTTGAGGGCAGAGTTACTACAAAGAACATGGGGAGGATTAAGGGGAGGATAACATATCCAAGGTCCCAGCCATCTTCCTCTATTCAGCTCCTGGTACACAGGAAACTAGTTGATTCCCCCTCAGGCAGGATACCCAGAGTGGTCTTTGAGGAATCTCACCAGCACAAAAGAGAAGACCTGAAGTTCCTGAAATTAGAGGCTCCTAATGAGGCAGCCCTGCTAGACGAGCCACCAGCGAGGCCCACAGGGGATAAACCTCACCCACATGTGCACAGCTGCCCGTCAGCTTCTAGTGCCCCACCTATAAAAATGAGGAGGCAACCAGGGATCACCAGACTTTGAGGAAGGCCTCTAAGATGAAGAGGCTAAAACAAACAAAGAGAAAAAAGCTTGGAGGAAAGAGAGACAATGCAGAGAGAGAGAGAGAAAGAAAACTTTTTCCCATTGATTTCTCAGAGTGATGGGAGAAGATACTGCATCCGTGAAACAAGAACCGAATGGAAATGTTATAAAAAAGACATTTAAAGAACAAGAAAGTACTTTTGGGAATTAAAAAGATTAAATCAGAAATGAAAAATTCACTAAATGACAGTAAGATAAAGTTGAGGAAATCAACAACAAAGATAGAGCAGAAGGACAAAGATATGGGAATTACACGAGAATGGATTTAAAAACTATAAATAAAGGATGAGTCTAGGAGGTCCAACATTCTAATAACAGGAGATCCAGAAAAAGAGAACAGTGAACATCTGAGAGCTGAAAGATACAAGTTTTAAGACTAAAAGGGTCCATCATGTGGACGTGGCATAGTGGATGAAAAAAGACCCATTGGGCATGGGGTTGAACAATACTGGGGGCAGAGACAAGCTTCTAAGAGCTCCCGGCTTTAGACAGCTAGAAAGCCAGCATTGAGAGAAGACATTGAGCAATAGGTTAGGAGGGAAAATGATTTCTATCCTAGAACTTGAAACCAAACCGTTAATCAAGTGTTTAGAAAAAAGACATCTTCAGATGTTCAAGGCCTCAAAAAATTTACCTCCCATGCACACCTTTTAAGATACCATTGGCGGTATAACTCTGCCAAAGCAGGGAAGTCAGATGAAGAAAAAGGAAGATATAGGATTAATCATGAGAAAAATGCACAGGGAATTTCTGGGGTGGGGGTAAGGGGAGATCCCAGGAGGGCCGGGACAGGCTCATAGGTCAGCTGATCCACACTGGAGCTGGTCGGAAGGCTCTGCGGGACACTTCTTTGAGAAGGTGAAACAGACAGGATACCTAATGTGTTTGAACACATGAAAAGGGATTTCTGCATGAAGTGAAAATGTGGGAATAAATTAGTGGTAAGTACACAGAAGCTAAAATAATTATAATTAAGACAATGATTAAGTCCAGGGAAAACGAAACATTTTTTAAGAAAGTAAGGGAATGAAGGCTCAGCTGTCAGAGTTTACTATAGTCAGAATCCATCAAGAGTTGAAGAGGGTGACTCTCGGAGCAGGGAAAGGAGAGAGGGCAGGTTGGGAGAATGGCTATTGTTGGTAACGATCCTTAGAAAACTAACTTTTTAAACTTTGCGCATGTATAATTGATTAAAAAACCCTGAATTTAAAAATGAAATGATACCACTTTGGAAGAGAATCTTAAAAACATGCCAGTTCCATCATATGTTTCTCTCCCTCTCTTAGGATGCAAGTGACTTTTCTCTAAAATGAAAGTGAATACATTATAAAATGATTTACAGTTGTGTAAAAACAGAACGCTGACATTTTAGAATATAACATCCTTTAGGCTTTGGGTCAATTAAGTTTCATGGAATTTGGCTGGTCCTATCTACTCTGCCATGTTGAAATATTTTTTAAAATACCTTGGAGGATCCATTATAAATATGTTTCACTTTATAAATGTGATGGAGCTTTTATTCTATCATGAACTTTTCAGCATCTGGGAGCAGTATCCCACTGGTTTTCAAAAATGACAGAGGTACTATCATGAACCCTAATGCCTGATGCCACTACTCACACCCCATCTTTGACATGAAGAGAACAATATTTCTTTAGATCTAGCAACTCAGAGCTCAGAGACTTTATCACCTAGTGGCCAGGACAAGTGGCCCTGTCATCTTTTCCCACTGCAAAGCTGCCGGCCTGAAAGGGTGAGACATCACTCACACCTATAGCCCAGGTATGGTTGCAATTTCATATCATGACTTTAAAAGGACACTGAGCATGGCACTGGGACACAATGGATTTCCTGGACAAAGAGATCGATCATCCCTCCTTCCAAATATTTTCCATAACAGTAAAACTAAAGAATGAAGATAAGTGAGCACTGCCCCAAGTCTGGACTTGATTGGGGCCTTAGGACCTATGGAGGGTAAGTCATCCTGTGTTTCCTCAATGGTTGGAGTACGAAACCTGGGCCACATTCCACTAAAAACTGAAGCTTCCTGGAGAATCACTGGCATGCTTTATTTATTTGTAGCCAGCGATTATCTGAATGTGAGATAATGTCTCATGCTGCAATCTCTCTGTGCTTTGCAACATCACTGTACAATGGCTTTTAAATTATAACAAACCAAGGAAAAAGGAGGGTATAATTGCATGTCAGAGAGGATGGTGCAAGTCAGCAAAGCCAAATTGTCCCTTCTGGCTTCTCCACGTGGATAAGGTTCACCTGGAGGGTTTTTCCTGCCTTGGAGAAGATGATGACTGACCTTCGGAGGAGGGAGTCTGATATGAGGACACAAGGATAGTGAGCATGCACAAATCATTGAAACATTTACATACATATCAATTAACCTGGGTGGATGACCACAGTTATGGTCCCTTGAAAACAAAATGCTCAGGTTTGGTGGATCTCTAATAGAGGTTCCCCAGAGGATGGCTCGATGTTCCATTGCTGAAATTCCACAGAACAATTTGACTTGGCACCACTAAACCACCCTGTTCTCTGTCTGCTCTGTCTGTGCCCAGCGGACCCGAAATGCTCCTGTCAAGGCCACAGGCCACTGAGGAGCTTCTTCGGAGTCTTCAGCCACGCACACCTAGTACCTAGATTGGGTCTTCCGCAACAATGAAAGTGGAAGCTGTCAGTCTGGTCTGGGGCTTGAGCATCACAGGTAACTATTTAAAGGGAAGGAATACCACAGGTATTGAAGCCTCCTTTCTTTTTCTCCTTAAAGTTTCTGAATTCGACTCTTTGCCTTTGCCATGCTTCCAGTATGAAAATGCTCCTCGCCTTCCAGCAAGTTCCGAAAAAGATGACTATTTCCTGCGTTGCCCAGAAAGGAATACATGCAACTTAGAAGGAAGTATATGGTGTTGGTTAAAAGCTGCAAAACGTATTTGCAGGTCGACGTTCCCTAAGAAAAGTATTGAGCCCTCACATAAAAATCAGACCAAATTTAACCAGTCTGTTTCAGAAAACAAGAAGCTTTAGAAATTAACCTAACAAAGAATATTTCAGGAAAAGTGTCATCTAATGAGTTCACCCAGAGTAGTCTTGACTCAGAACATGCCCTCCCGGTTGACCATGACATGCTGTGTTCTTCAAATATTTGCAGAGCCTAATGATATTGACTTTTCCAAACCAGAACACAAACCTAATAAACTACTGACAATGAACATGATTTGTTCCTCGGAGCAGCTGCAGGGTTGGGTTTTCTGCTGCAGAGCCTGCTGTCAATATTATCTCATTAGGAAGCAGCCAGCAAAACAGAACAACCCACTCGGTGTCCAGATCTTGGTTTTTCTATTTATTCTCTAATGAAAGAGCCCAGGGCTTCTTGGAGAAATGGCTTATTCTAGGACTAGGGCAGGAAATATATAAGATGATCAGCCTGGGGTAATATGTCAGAGGATGCAAGAGCCCAGCAGAAAGAGCTCCCAATGGCCAAAGCTGGAACAATTTGAGCAAGTAGTAGTGAATTGTGACCCACAGTATACAATCAATACCCCTGAATTCATACTGATACAAATAAACAAATAGGGAGAAATCTCTTACACAGAATTCCAACTAATTTATGTAGATACTCCCATCTCAGGGAAGTGGAACACAGCTCCCCACTGCTGAAGTGTGGGCTGACTTCCTTCCAAAGAGCCCACAGTATGGAAAGGGGGAAAAGTACCTTTATGGTGGAGAAACCCGGCAAACATCATCTCGGCCAGGTGA